CTGCAGCCACATCTCCTTGTGGGTATGGGGGCCCTGCAGTGGAGAATCAAGCTTCAAAGTGGGGCCTTGTTGCTTCCTGAAAACACCTGTATCTGCGTGTTCCTCGCAGCCAAGAGCTTGATCTCGTTCCCAAACCAAACTCTTGGGTCTGCATCTGAATGGTATCTGGGCCCTTATCGTCTCCCAAGGGTGATGCTCAAGGAAGACAAGGGATCTTCAAGTTCCTTCTTAACTTTTACCCAGAGAGCATAATGCAGGCATGCTTTGGCCAAAGGGGAAGGCTACCATTTGTACATTCATTCATTCATTCATTGAATAGTTATTGAGGGCCTACTGTGTGCTAGGCACATTCTAGGTCCTGAGGACACAGCTGGAAACAAGTCATAAAGAATTTCTATTCTCATGGAGTTTACATTCTAGCTGGGAAGAAAAGCCAAAACCAAACCCATAAAAAACTACAAATACATATGTAAAGTTTAAGTAATGATGATACTAGGAAGAAAAATAAAGCAGGATGAGGAGATGGAGAATGATGGAGAAATGGGGTTTTTAAAGGCTCTTATGAGGGTAAACATTTGAACCTGAGTGAAGTACATGGGAGCCATGGGATGATCTAGAGGAAGAGCATCTCAGACAGAGGGAGGAGCAGGTGCAAAAGCCCTCCAATAGGAGTCAGCTTGGTTTGTTTTAAGGAATAGAGAAAAGGTCAGTGTGGTTCAAGCGGAGAGAGTGAGGGGGTTGTGATGGAAAAGAGTAGTAGGGGCCGGATAGTATAAAGCTTTCTAGGCCACATAAAGGAGCTTGGATCTCAAATGTGCTGTTGCAGGGTCCCAGGCACTGTGGTGTGTCAGCCGGGTGGGGCTGCCTCTGAGCAGCTAAAGAGAGGAAATGGAGCATGTGAACAAAGGGCCCCGGGACAGCTCGGTGAGTCAGCTAGCTCACCCAGCTCTGACTCCCCCTTGAACACAGAGCAGCAGATAAGGTCAGGTCTGGTACCCAAAGAGAGAACGTGGGGGAGGATTTGATGGGGGCAGAGGTGGAAGAAGGAGCTGTTGACTCCTTGTCTCATTTGCCTTGTCCATCAAAGGGGCTCTGAATCACCAATGGTTGTTCAAATATTTTAAAGTTGGAATCTCTCTGTATAAGCAAAATCTTCCACAGAAGCTTACTATGTGCCACTCTCCTTTCCAAGCACCTTATATGTTTCATTTCACAGAATTGTTATAGCAGCTCCATGAGATATGTACTCTGAATATGCCCACTTTACAGATGCAGAAGCTAAAGTCCAGAGAGGCTGAGCAACATGTCAATAAGTGCAGAGCTGCTACAGTTGGAGCAGGGGCGGTGGAGCCCACTAGGGAAGCACTTCAGAACCCCTACTGCTCCAAGAAGCAAGCTGGGAAATCACATTTCAGAAGCTTCTTCTACTAGGACATGCTGTGAGGTTAACTCTGCTAAGACCTAGCTATGGAGCTGTGACATTTGGGGGCAGTTACTTTAGCACTTGATTTTGCCTCTTGTCTTAGTTGTAGAAGGTGATTTAGAAGTTGTTGGAAAGGGGAAAAGCAGATGAATAAAATCAGGGATGTGGCTGAAACAGGCAATGTGGTAGGGAAGCAGTGAAGCTGTCAGCAGCCTACCCAGGACCTAATCCTGCATTTCGGTTGAAATGGGCACAATCCTGCATTTCGGTTGAAACATGGGGGCTCCCCAAGCCTGAAGCCTGCTGATGTCTTAGGCATACTTCAGCTCTTTCTACAGCACCCCAGTCGCAGCATTCTTTGCCGGATGTCCTGACTAGCTGGGAGATTGTTGCTACCTAATACGGTGGTGATGACTTCTGAAAGAAAGGGTAAGAACAACAGGTATCATTTCTGAGCATATATTATGCACCATCACTGTACAAAGCATTTTTACACACTTTATCCTCTTAAAATCCTCTTAAAATTCCTGTGAAGTAAGCAGGCATCCCTATGGCCTCACCCTAGTCCCAGCCCTGCTGAGTGTTACTATTGCCTCCATTTGACAAATATAGAAACTGAGGTTCAGAGAGGTGAAGTAACTTCCCCCAAGTCACACAGCTAGTAAACAACTGAGCTATGCCTTCTGACACCTATGCTCATCTCCTAAACTCAGTTGATAAATTTTTTTTTTTTAGATTTTTGGAGCTCTTTTCTACTGTATAGGAAATCTGGTTTATTTATCACTAAGGTTACTAATAGGTCTAACATTCTGAAAACATACCCATCAACATGCCCTGAAATGTTCTGAAATGTGTTTGGGAGCCAGATACTTGTGACAATTGAGTAGTTTAAAGAAGTTTGCATGGGAGCTGAAGCCATAATAAAATAAACCTTTATTTTTGTCCCTGTATGTGAATGTCACAACTAACAGGTATATGACGCAAGTTGGCTTCTAATGGTTGGAAAAAAATAAAAGAGGTAAATTGTCATTCTTGACATTTTCCCAATGACATTTGCATTTTCCTTTCTACTGGAAGTCCATTTTAACAAAGAAATGCAGCCTTAGTCACTTAAACTGCTCTTCCGGAGAAAACAATTGTAGATGTAATAAGCAAAAAAGAATAGAAAATGCCAACAGGAAGAAAGTAATCCACCTAGGGTCAGATTCATCATGCCAACTCATTCAGTCTTCCTCTGACATTCACATTCAGGACGGAAAACTTGGAAATTGTCTAAATTTTAGGATATTTAAGATCTGCAAGGAGTTGGGGGAGGGCAAAAGGAATTAAATTACAATCCCACTGGATAGGGATCAAGTGTAGATGTCCCCAACTCTCAAGAACCATTCTACATGTTCAAATTGCCTCATAATTACTGAGTCCCTCTTCTGCATAAGGCCTAAGGTTGCTATGGAAGGATACAATAAGGTCATGATTGCTTTAAAATTATTCATAATGAAAACACATTTTGAGACTCGATTCTAAATGTTAAACTTAAATTTGAGCAATTTAATTGCCCATTGAATAGAAATGAAATCCCACCGGTAGGCAGTTATTTCTTACAACTACTGTGTGTGAAATTGAAATCTTAAGATACCATTTCAAATATTCACTTTCTCTAAGGAAGCTCTCCCCAAAGAGTGGTGAGAGATAAGAAACTGACCCAAAGTCATCGGCAGTAATCACTCTTTCTTTACACATTCGGGTCAAAACAGAAGCATATTATTAAGAGGAAACTTCATGCCCCAAAGTTGGCCGATTAGAGGTTACCTCCGGAACCCAAGGATATATTTAATATAACAACTAAATTAAGCCCCATGCAAAACTATATAGCAAGGTAGGAAGCAGCTTATCAGATTTAATAAAAGCAAGCAGATGCAAACATATCATGTAATCACCAAGGCAGTGAACATTAAAGTGGAAAATGCATATATGTTTTGTATATGAGAACAAGGAGGTGAAGTGAAGGGACCCTCCTCTGTTTGCTTTTAAAAAACGGGACAGTTTTTTAAATTTGGGCGGGAAATTCTTATTTTTAACCCCCAGCTCACCTTTAAATTTAATTTCAAACTCTTTTTAAATTCTCCCAACGATAGTCTGCTGTAACACAGAAGCTACCATTTATGAGAGCTTAATACACACCAAATGCTATCCATGTATGTAATCTCATGTCTGTATTTCCCCCAGCTCATTACACGTCTAAGGGCCACACTGCATGCAATCACTCACCCTCACAACAACTAATCAATAGGTTCTGGCACCCCCATTGACAGATGAGGATCTTGGGCATTTAAATTCCTGC